GTTAAGGTTTTGCTTACTGTTTTGGTTAAAGTTTCGGTTAATGTTTCGGTTAATGTTTTGTGTATGAAGTGGGTCTGTGCTAGAATCGTACCAAAATACTTGAATCTACTTCAAAACCGAATTCTGGAATAGACCACAAAAGAGATGCTGGACAGCAAAGCTGAGAACCATACATTCATTGAACACAACATTATTGGTGACGGAACGTAGTTTTATGAAAAAAAAAAAAACGTTGAAATTAGTCAAGAATCTTTGCTATGTTGGCCTTTAAAAATCAATCARCCAATAAACCGAAAAAACCAATGTACGCTGAAGGCACCGGAGCCTATCACAGCCGAGGCTTATACTAAGTGTGTGGAAAATGAGGTTAAGCATGGATTTCGAACATATTTTGAAGGCGATGGATGATAAGGACTTATATTGAAGCACGTAAGAAAGGAAGTTTTTTGTCAATCCGGGTCAAATTTGAACAAGTGGTAAGACATTTTTTAAATTAAATTGTCTTTACTATAATTTGGCACTGGCAGATCGWTGACATTGTTATAACACAATCAGAATATTTTGAAGGCGATGCTAAGGGTCAAATTTGATTTCTGCTCTCTCTTCAAKAAGGCTGATACTTTAAAGTTTTCACTTACATTAGTACGATCGCGAGATTTCAGATTTTGGGTTTTGTTCTAAAAAGGGCTGTAGGTAGAAGAGTTTAGAAAACTGTCAGTTTGTCTTTGAGATAATCTAGGATCACGTTTTTTAATTCTATGATGTGCAAATTCTTTGAATTCCTTTCTTTCTCTTATAAAAAAATTTCACGGCATCTGCTATTAGTTAGCGGTATCGATTCCGTCTAACTTACAGTTCAGGAAACGAATAGGGTCATCAATGATAGATCTTATGTTRGAGGAGAGTGTTTATGCCACTTGAGAGAAACGATTTTTAGTTATATACGGTTTCTCTTCGGACTTGTCAAACTTGGGATTTGATAAATATGGTAAGTCTTTACCTGGATGAGGTGCTCTTCTAACATTTCGAATAGAGCGGAAATTTGGGCTTACTGTATGCCTATGATGCTCCATTATGGATGTTTCTTCACACACTAGAGAGCCATTCGCCATTCAAATACATAACTTAAGRGATAATTTTCATAAAACAAATTAAAAAAATGTCTGGCAACTCTGCAAATAACAGCACACACAAAATGMGCGGCGTGAGAGAATGTGCGAGAGGATTAGTGCCCTAAAATGGCATTTACCTGCCAGCTAAACTTAAAAATATATGCAAATCGKCAAAATCGTGGCATGAAGGGTAACTATGCGCTTTCGTATTAAAGATGGGCATCATAAAAAATAGSAACAACAAATTACAGTAAATATAAAAAGTCTTAAGTAGAAAAGGATAAAGTGGAAAATGTGACAAATCAATTTAGCACTGAAGGTATTTCGGGGCATTTGTCATGGCAACAACTGTGGAGCGGAGGGCAAGGGAGCAGAGCTAACTAGGCAAAAAGTGAAACAGAAAGCGATTGGGCAGCGCGTAGTTGGGAAATTAGTAGCTAATGGTTTGGTGGCAATTTGAGGACACACTTTCACAAATGCTTAATTGGATTTTGAGTGAGAGCGTAGAGATTAGAGAGCTTAGATAGAGATAGGAAGGGTTAATGATTTATTTATGAGGAATGTAGGAATTTTGGTTTAGACATAAGTTGGCATTTTGTAATAATGACGTTTTAAATAGTAGCCACTATTAATGTATGCAAATAGTAGGAGAGATTTTTTTATTTCAATACATAAAGCAAATTTATTTATTATAATTTTTTATTAAATATTTTTTTAAATTTTTTTGAATTTTTATCCGAAAAATATATTTTTTACTAAAAAAGTAATTTTTTTTTRACATAAATTGATTTTATTTGCCAAAATTTTAGCTTCTTGACTCACCAATAAAAAACCACACATGCGCTCGTCCATACAGTTGTTGTTTGTACATTTCGCAGAGMACGCGCCGCGCGGCCACGACATAGAATAGACCGACTATGATRCGAGCATCTTGCCGACGTAGGTTGCGTACCGCATCTGTTGGATCGGATAGAAATGATTGTCTTGTGACGATTTCGACGCCCGCTTCCATGCAACGATTTTCGAGATCTTCAACRGTCTGCGAAAAAAAGAAATGGAATTTGAATATTTTTTATTACAAAATTATTAAAAAGTAATAAAAAGGTATAAAGTACGCATATCATAAAAAATTGCATACTTTTGAGCGCCAACGAAATTTTCTTAAGCTATTTTAAGTTCCAGTGATAGTAATTTAAACTGACAGAAAATTTTCTTTTATTTATCTCAAAAAGATGTTGCATGTTGCATATTTTTAAGCACCATAAGTATGCTTAATAATATAAATTTCATATTAATTTACTGAGGTGAAGTTGCACACTTTCGACCGCTAATGGCTTTCATAAGAGGTTTTTAAATTCGAGTGTTAAGAGCTTAAGCTGACGCCAAATTCTATTTTAAAAATTTAAAAAAATCCATGTTGCCTACTTTTTAGCGCCRTAAGTATATTTAGTTATAAGAAATTCATAATAACTAAATAAGGTAAACTTTTAAACGCCTTCACACAACACCAAATTCTTCTTAAATTATCTAGAAAAGTACCTGTTGCATACTTTTGAGCGACAATAACATTTATAAGTGCTATTCCGTAGTTGAGAGACATTTATTTAAACTGAAACCAAATTCAGTTCATCTAATTTAAAAAAAATATAAATATGTTGCATACTTTTGAGCGCCATAAGTGTGCTGTGTATATGAGATACATGTTCATTAACTAGTGTAAGCTTCTGAGCGCCGTTAAATGTCAGCAATTGCTATTCAAATGTCTCAAACAATTTGTTGCTGCATACTTTTAAGCGTTGAACATTTTGAAGCCTAAGGAAGTTCGAACACATAGTTGTTGCATACTTTTAAGCGCCATGAAATAAGAAAAAACATTAATTTCAGCAGGCGTGAAGCTTTAATACTCTGCACAGCTTAATTGTTATAGCATTGAAGGTTATACATATTATATTAATTAATTATATTATTATATAACATATTTATTGTAATTTGGATCGATCAGTTTGTACGGCAGCTATATGCTATAGTGGTCCAATCTGAACAATATGTATGAAGCTTGCCGTGRAAAATATTCCAGTTCAAATTTTGTGAAGATAGCTTGTCAAATAAAAATACTTTCCATAAAAAAACTTGATTTGGGTGGTTTAATTTATATGGCAGCTATATGCTAATAATAATAATAAAAAAGTTTCCAAGCAAAATGTTGATTTTGATCGAACAATTTGTATGACAGCTATATGCTATACTAGCAAATTCAACAAGATAACAGCTTCTAAGGCTCAAAAACATGTAAGCAAAATATTGGATCGATATCTCAAAAACCGAAGGACTACTTGACGTAGATACCGGCGAAGGAACAGACTTTGTCATATGGACCCAGTTCGTTATGCTGTTAGTTTCCATATATGTATTCTTTTAAAAATCTGCGACATTTTCTGAGTGTTACAAAATATCGTGGTAAAAATTATACACCCTGCGTAAATTATAAAAATTAACGCAAGTAAACTTTAATAACCTTTTTATACCCCCTTTATTAAGGCAACATATTTAATCAATTATATTAGTGAGTTAGAATCACTAGAAATGGCAGTCAAAATATTCCTGTAAATGAATGCCTTCAGCACATAACCAGGCTTAATTTATCAATTAATATTTGCCAGCCGGCATCTATTGAATCAAGGATTATTCAATTACGCCTAAATGTGTGCTTTCAGCATTACAGACAAAGACTGTTAAGTGCATTGAATATGATTACATGTTTTCGTATTTGAYAAGTCAACAAGTAAAGGGATTGATGTGTACATATGTGTATCCATATACATATATATACATATATATGATAGATATATATATATATGTAGATAAAGACTCGGTAGCTCAATTAACTACATTTGGCTTGCTTCAATTGTTCGTTGCCAGCTTTGACACYTGCGGGTATGCTTTTAACTTGTATAAACCAGATTTATTGTTGCGATGGTAAAAGTTGCAATTTCCACAAACTGCTTACAATCAAAACAGCTTGCAATTATGTAACAAAATTAAACAATTCCACGAAGGAGATAGGTGAAATTGATAACGTTGAGCGGCAAAGTATGCAAATGATTAACAGAGATTGAAAATAACCAGGCTGATAAATGAAATGAAGTGTTTGCTCAGAACTCTACCCAYAGCTAAACATATAGTCTGTGGTATGTGGTACTTTGAAGTTTTACCTATATATGTATACACCTACAGTTATATAAATAGAAACATCGGATAAGTAAACATGTTTAGAAATTAAGCAATTTAGTTCGAAAGCGGGTGTTATGGAATATTTATATCTACACTAGTAAAGATACTAGAAATAATATTGCTGAAGGGAATACAATTTGATACGATAGAATACGTTGGGTGAAGGTTAACCAGAAATGCCAGAAATCCATCTCCTTCTTACCCAAGAAGGATCTCCTGTAGACGTTTCAGCATAGGGAACTAAGTATAAAACTATGAACTTTTTTGAAGACGTTTGGACGAGGAGGGCRTGGAAAAGTTATACCCAAAAAATAACAACACCCTTCTACCTTCTTCTGGAGAAGCTGTTCCTCAGCTCTCACCATTCCTATTCTATATAGTACGACACAATGTGATTGGAAGCACTGAAGATATACGACTGCACAAAATATGACAAGGTCTTTTACGACTACGCAATAATTTGTAAGGAATTAGAGTGAGACAGGAAGATATATAGGGAAAGAGAGAGGAAAAGACACAACGCTGAGTGAGACAGAGAAATTTGGAAGCGGAGACAGTGAGAGTTAAAAATATGTATATTGGCAAAGAGATTGGAAATTATGTACTTACGGAACCATAACGCTGACTTGCAATTGTCGGAGATGCTTACTAGAGACTTAGAAACACTGTTTGGRATGAAAGAGAAATATCTAAAGTTGAATATATAGGAAGAGAAAAAGGAATTTACTAAAAGCATCGCAACACTAAATTATCTGTACTTGACTCGACAGTGATAATATCTCAGAAATTTTCGGAGAAGAATAGGAAGAGAAAGAGGGTAATATATAAATAATATTAGAAAGAATGTTCGGAGAAGTTTCTAAGGGATTTTGAAATAGTTAAGAAGCAGAGATATTATAAAAAAACATATATGGGGAACTAACCAAGGTGTATATTTGACTCGGAACAATAAATAAAAAGAATTTTTTAGAGAAGGTTATAAAATCYATTAGAGCTTTGCAAGGAAAGAGAGAGTAAAGGGGAGAATATATATATAATATAAAATACATATTTAAGGCGGGAGCCTTGTTTAGAGGCTTAAAAAAATCGATTTTTTGACGATTTTTTGGGAAGGAAAGAAATAAGTGATTAAAGCAAAACATCTAGGGTTTATAGTTATATATTTAAACATCATTCACAAACTTTTTTGGATACGAAATTTCTGATATTCCGCCGTTGGGAAGCAATTGGCCGATGCATGCGAGTGCATTTGTCGGACGGCGGACAGGATGCAGGTCGCAATTGCTATCTAAAACAAAAAATTCAAAGAGATTCATTTTTTTTAATAATTTGTCTTCTAGTTAAATTAAAAAAAAATCCAAAAAAGAGTATAAAATTTTAAAAATTTTTGAAAAATTATAAAAAAAGTGGTTTTGTTCAAACTTGAGTTTCTTAATTTTTTTTTAGTTTAACTTGAAGATAATTTAATGCCAAAGATGCCCCAATTCCATRCGACATTTAGTTTTTTTTATATTCTGCCCGTAATTCAAGAAAAATCGTAAAATCGTATGAAWAACCGTGAAACCCTTACTAGGGTTTGAAAATGGCTTTTAGGAAAGAGAGAGTGGAGCGGGAGTGAAAGAGAAAGATAATATGTAGTAAAATATAAGAAGAGAGAGGGGGAGATATACTGTCGGCATCGCAATATTGACTGAGAGTGAAAGAGAAGGATTATATTGAGTGACATAAAGGAATGTAGAGGAGGTGATATACTGTTGGCATTAAAAAACTGATTATTAACTGCTTCGGGAATGAAGTGATAATAACACAAAATTTTTTCCGAGGAGTTCAGCTCAAATGAAGAAAGCGTGAGAGATAAATTATATAGAATAATATATAGAAGGAGATAGGAGAGGAAATATACTCAAAGCGTCGCAATACTAACTGCAGGACTTAGCGATATTCCTAGAAAAGTTTTGAAAGACGAAAGATTTTCGAAGTTTGGAATTAGTTTTTTGTAGAGAGTAGGAGAGAGTAACTAAAAAGATATATACAAAAGAATTGTGGAAAATATATGCTCAAGGTTTCTTTATCTCCTTCTGTGTTAAAGGCTTAGGACMTTCCCAGATCATAACAGTGTTCTAAGTTCTTCAGAGGTCAGATTGAGATCGTATCCACAACAGTTAGAGATTTTCTTTATTTGACTATATTAGCGCTAACGAAATATTATAGTATTCTGCTATTGATACTCCTTAGGAGATTTTGAARATTCTAATGTTGTAGCGGTTGACTSTTCAAAGATATTGGACAAAAATAACAAAAAATTTAAAGTTTGGGAGAATTGATAAATCACACGTTATCTCCCTCTTTTTCAAAACAYTGAAGTTTAAGAGCCTGAAAACCTCGTTCAGGGTTAAAAGCTGACAAATAGAAGTATTTTGTGCCCAAAAACTAATAAAACGCATCTAAAAAGAATCTAATGGGCTCTAACACCACACCTATTGTTAAGCTCAACTTCTGTTTATTTTTAATTTTCTTTCTGCCACATTTTCGCTCTACCATCAGCGCCCATCTCCTGCCAACAACAGTGCAAAAATAAATCCAAAAATAAGCTTGCAAGATTATACTTCAAATACACACACACTCCCAGTCAAATATAAAATAATATGAGAATTGTGACACTCTTTAACGGCTGCAAAATGTAGTTGAGCAGAAGTAGCGCAGCTGCTCAAGGGCAACGTCTTCAGTTTGCCAGTTGCGCCGGCCGAAGTTGAGTGAAGGCTTCAAAGTGAGAAGTTTTTGAAATATGCGAAGTGAAAGCCTCAAATA